CTGCTCGTTTAGTGCCTTGGTTGGGGGGACTTTTTTTGTATATACTACTTTTTATGTGTGTAAGAATCCATAAAAAAGTATATATATATATATAGATATATATATATATATGTATTTATATATGTATATGTTGTATAATGAGGTGTATATACAGTTTAATTGTTTTATTTATTTTATATTTATTTTCTTTTTGTGTTTTCGTGGCTGCAGGAGGAGACCCATTTACTTTGCTTTTATAGAGGGGATATTGCCGTTCTTTGTTTTAAGAGTTGAGGCCGAGGTCACTAGCAAAAATAAACAAAAACAAAAAAAGAAAAAAACAAGAAAAAACAGGAAAAATAACAAAATAAATTAATAACAACAACAATAATTATAAATATTATTATAATAATTATTTACTTTACTATATAATGAAACAAATTAACAAAAAAACAACAAAAATATAACAATTTTCTACCACAAGGAAAACTGCCTATACACCGCAGAGCTGCCTATACACCGCAGAGCTGCCTATACACCGCAGAGCTGTGTATACACCACAGAGCTGCCTATACACCCCAGAGCTGCGTATACACCTCAGAGCTGCGTATACACCGAAGAGCTGCGTATACACCGCAGAGCTGAGTATACACCGCAGAGCAGAGCTGCGTATACACCGCAGAGCTGCGTATACACCGCAGAGCTGCGTATACACCTGAGAATTATTAGTGGAACAAACGTTTTCGTTTGAAGCCTTTTCGGCTTTTTTAGCTTTTTTCTTAATTTGTTTGTTTTGCGAGTAAACAAATTTTATCTCATTGCTATTTTGTTTATGACAAGGAACAGAAGCAACACAGCAGCAACAACTAAGGCTGCTGCTGCTGCAGTTGCTGCTGCTGCTGCTGCTGTTGCTGCAGTTGCTGCAGCTGAACAACACCGAGGTTGCATTGTGTTTATGGGTTCAAATTAGCGGGGACACCGACGCAGCTAGCTAGACCCCTAGATAGCTAGCTAGCCACCGCCAGTGCTGGCTAGCTAGCTAGCTGGGGTAAGAGCTGTCTGCAGCAGGAGGCAGCCGCCGGTTGTGTATTGTATATTAAAAGAGAAAGAAGTCGAAGAAGAAGACAACAAAAGACCGCTGCATATGCACGGCCCTACAGCTACCTGCTGCTGCTGCTGCTGCTGCTGGTGCCCCTCCCTCACTGCCTCCCCCTACTGTGGCCTCTCTCAACAGCTGCAATGAAAACCCCCCAAACCCAAAACTACGACTGTCTCCCTACTGTATGCTTTGCTAGCGAACTTGCATGCATGCATGCACGCATGCATGCATGCATAGAACTGCATGCATGGAGNCATGCATGCATGTTGATTGAAATGTTGTGTATGTTTGGTGTTAGTTATCCATATCTTCTTCTGGTTTAACCTGGCCTTCTGCCTTGGGTCCTTCTGTTTGCATATCTTCTGCCGGGTTTTGTTCTACTTCATCGTCATCCATCTTGGGTGCGAGATAGAACTTGAAATGACCCAACTTCGGGGCTGCACTGCGGCTTTCTCCCTGAATAGGGTCTAATATATCAAATTTAACTGCAATAGGACGATGAGCAGTCAATGATAGCTTACAACAGTTGCTTAAAGATGCAGCCTTTGAGAAAAACACTAAATACTTCACCGCATAGGTCTGGCTGACGGGGTGATTGACCTGAAACACAAAAAATAAAAAAATCGAAAATCAAAAAATTTCTTGATTTAAATGCATTTAAATCAAAATTAATTCATCAATTTAAAATAATTTTATTGTTTTACCAAAAAAAATAACAGAAATCATCAAAAACAAAACCAGAAAAAATACGGGTTTCTGAGGTGTACGTACACCTGAGAAAGCGGAAAGCTGCATACAGGTATTTGTGTATTTGTGTATGAATCTTACTTTAATATCAACCCCAACATCAAGATCATCATCAGAGTTTCCTTCTCTTGGTTTTAAAACAACTTCTCCTCCTCCTATATCTCCATTGGTGATGAATTTAACGCCGTTTTTGTCTACATCAATACGCACTGAATCACTAAACTCTTTCAGGGTATTCACGATCGAGGCGAATTCCTTGGCGCTGAATGTTATCTCTACGTCGCTCTCCTCTTCATCAGGAACACCAAGAGATTCCTGCTCGATCCCCATCAACCGTAAGCTGAATGTAGATGTTTTCTCTTCGGCTGTTACAAACACAAGAAAAACAAAAAAAAAATCAATTCAAACATCAAACAAAACTGAAACAATAAACTTTAATACACAAACAGAAATAAAATATCCGAATCAAATGAAGAAAACCAATAAATGAAAAAACAAGAGGAATCTAAGCAAACAACCACAAAATAATAAACACTATCTTAAACCCTAAACCCCACAAAAACATAAAATCACAGAAAAGCAGAGAATCAAAGAAATATACACATGCTGCAGCTGCTGCTGCATGTGTTGCTGCTGCATGTGCTGCTACTCCATGCGTTGCTGCTGCTGCT